TCAAGATTGCTGGGAGGTAGTAGGAGATTCGGTGGCCTGTTTTGTCTTGGAATTTTTCACAACAGGTTATCTTCCACATGGGACAAACGATGCTTTGGTGGTCTTGATAGCGAAAGTTGTGAAGCCAGAGAGGATTACACAGTTCAGACCCATCAGTCTCTGCAACGTGTTATTCAAAGCCATCACTAAGTCTATGGTGATGCGTCTAAAGAAGGTGATTCCCAAGCTTGTGGGTCCTGCACAGTCAAGCTTCATCCCGGGAAGACTCAGCTCTGATAATATTGTCATCGTCCAGGAAGTAGTTCACTCTATGCGTAGAAAGAAAGGAAGAAGGGGTTGGATGTTATTGAAGCTGGATCTCGAGAAGGCCTACGATCGAATCCGATGGGATTTTTTGGAAGACACTCTCAGAGCATCTGGGCTCCCACCAGCTTGGATAGGATGGATTATGACGTGTGTGGGAGGACCTTCAATGAGCATACTCTGGAACGGAGAAAAGACAGAATCATTTAAGCCTCTAAGGGGTCTAAGACAGGGAGACCCACTTTCACCGTACTTATTCGTGTTGTGTCTGGAAAGACTTTGCCATCTTATCGAGATATCAGTCGCGCAAAATGAATGGAAGCCAATCACTATCTCGTGAGGCGGGCCAAAGCTTTCACACATTTGTTTTGCAGACGATCTAATCTTATTTTCAGAAGCCTCTGTATCGCAGATTCGGATTATAAGGAAAGTTTTGGAGAGGTTTTGCTCTGCTTCAGGACAGAGAGTTAGCTTAGACAAATCAAAAATTTTCTTCTCAGAGAATGTCAGTCGAGAATTGGGGATTTCAATCAGTGCTGAGAGTGGTATTAAGGCTACACGGGAACTAGGAAAATATCTGGGAATGCCAATACTTCAGAGAAGGATAAATAAAGACATGTTTGGTGATGTCCTGGAGAAAGTTTCGTCAAGATTATCAGGGTGGAAAGGGCGGTTCCTAAGCCTAGCAGGGAGATTGACTCTTACTAAATCAGTGCTGTCATCGATTCCTGTACACACGATGAGCACGATTCTATTGCCACAGTCAACACTGTCAAAGCTGGATAGAATCTCAAGGTCCTTCGTATGGGGAAGCACGAGTGAAATGCGAAAGTAACACTTGGTCGCTTGGAAGCGAGTTTGCTTACCCAAGAGAGAAGGAGGGCTGGGGATCCGTGAAGCTCTGGGAATGAACAAAGCCCTGCTTGCTAAGCTAGGTTGGAGGCTTCTACAGGATTCAACAAGCTTATGGGCTCAAGTGTTACGCCAGAAGTATAAAGTAGTGGAAGGACAGGAGGGTTCATGGACGAGTGCGAAGGGTAATGCTTCGAGTACATGGAGAAGCATAAATGCAGGACTTAGAGATGTGGTACTCTCAGGAATGACTTGGATTGTTGGAGATGGTCGTCGGATTCGCTTTTGGAAAGACAGATGGTTGATGAAGGTGCCGTTACTGATATAGCAGAGGGAGTAGTCCCAGAACATATAGTAAATCTCCGAGTTAGAGATTTCTGGAGTAATGGTACAGGTTGGCTACTCCACCAGATCGAGAACTATATGACTACAGAGGTTAAGTTACGCTTGAGGTCTGTGGTCCTAGATGATATAACAGGTGCTAAAGACAGGAAGTCTTGGGGTGAGAATCAGAATGGGAGATTCACAGTGAAATCAGCTTACAATATGTTAACAAAAATTCAAGCGCCAAGGCAAGATATGGAGAAGTTTTTCACTCGAATCTGGAAGGTGATAGCACCAGAGAGGGTTAGAGTGTTCCTATGGCTAGTGGCTCACCAAGTGATCATGACAAATATGGAGCGGGAACGTCGGCACCTAAGTGACACGGGGGTATGTCAAGTGTGTAAAGGAGGGGAGGAATCAATTATTCATGTGCTCCGTGATTGCCCTGCAATGGCAGGGATTTGGCAGCGGGTAGTCCCCTTGAGAAAACAGCAACTTTTCTTTAATATGACGTTGTTGGAATGGATTTATGGGAACCTCGGTGACAAGGAAATGCTAGGGGAAAGCAGTTGGGCTACGATGTTCACCATGTCTGTATGGTGGGCTTGGAAATGGCGCTGCGGGAACGTCTTTGGTTCAACAGGAAGATGTCGAGACAGAGTACGCTTTCTGAGGGATCTAGCAACTGAAGTCTCTTTAGCTCACGCAGGGCTAGGAGGGAATGACATGAATGCTCCGAGAGAGCAACTTGAGATAGCATGGTCTCCACCACCAAGCGAATGTATCAAACTAAACACGGATGGTGCGGTTCATGGTGATACGGGCTTTGCAACAGCTGGAGGAGCGCTACGAGATGAGAGGGGTGATTGGTGCGGGAGCTTCGTACTAAATATAGGTATTTGCTCAGTACCTTTAGCTGAACTGTGGGGAGTATACTATGGGTTATACACAGCTTGGGAACATCGCATAACCCGCTTGGAACTCGAGGTGGATTCGGAAATGGTTGTTGGCTTTCTGACTACAGGGATAAGTGATCAACACCTCCTGTCTTTCCTAGTACATATGTGCTATGGCTTTCTCTCAAAGAACTGGACAGTTCGGATTAAACATGTCTATAGAGAGGCAAATTGTCTAGCAGATAGTTTGGCAAACTATGTTTTTTCTCTACTTTTAGGTTTTCTTTATTTAGGATTACCACCAGATAGTGTTATTGATGTTGTTTTAGCGGATGTTGCTGGAAACACAAGAACACGTTCTGTTCGAGTGTAGCTTTCTGTTGTTTGAATAATATTTGAGAGAATTTTGTCTCTCGTTTCCTACCCAAAAAAAAATTTTAAGAAACAGTATTATTACCATATATGATGATTTTACTTTTTTTGATTTTCATATTATCATTATACAGTTGATCAATGATCATCATCACGTTAATCAGTATGATTCAAATAAAAACGAAAATTACCAAATAAAACAAACAAGGAAACGCAGCTTCATTTACTAAAAAAATATTTCAGGCATATACATGGTCATGTACCCAATAACGAAACTAGCTTTATTACTAGGGAGTCATTTGACTCATGTACAAATTTGAAAATGAACTAGACTTTTATTAAGTATTCTTAATTGATCTATGTCCAAAACAATGATTGACCCCTCTAAATTTTTAATTTAGCCATGATTCAATAAATATTAGAAAATGTTAGCCCACTAACCATCACAAATAAGTTATTAATCAACTAAGATTAATAATTTTATTAATCAAAAACAAAAAGTAGATATTTGTTCTCTTATACGCCTAATCACAAACTAGGGTTTTTCATTCATATTGGTGATGTATTTTTAAATAATTATATAGTTTATTTAACTGAAAGACATGTGTACCGTGTTATACGAAAATAACGAAACAATGATAATCATGAGTGAGGCTGGAATAGTGGAACTGTGGCTGAAAGAAGATCTTTAAAGACAACACAGTAAAGCAAATCAAGTTCCACAGCAAAATGCCAAAATAAAAAACAAATTATTTATATATTTAAACATAAACTTGGTCGAAACTTAGTTAGTTTTTTGTCAGGAATCTAAAACATTTTCTGACCAATTTAACCAAATTTCGATCAAAACTTCTGACAGTAAACCGACCAGTTTTTCATTAATATTTCTGAACATTTTTTGTCCAAAATATTTTGTCTATTTTCTGACCATATTTCATTTCTAATCAGCGATTTCTGACTAAATCGTATTGATTAAAAAATCAGTTAGAGATATCTGTATGGACATGTGGCTGGAAAGAGAGAAGTTTGAACATGTAGGTGAAAGAAAATCTTTGAAGAAAACACTGCAAAGCAAAGAAAGTTCCAATGCAAAATGCCAAAGGAAAAACAATAAACTTTAATCAGATTTTAGATGGTCCGAAATGTTATTATTTCTGTTGTTATGTTCCAATGTATGAAACTATGTATAACAAGAGAGTTTTAGATTATAAATTTTCATTACACAAAAATAGAATAAAAAATACGTATATATATATATTTCTGCTCATCAAATTAATAAAGATTCAGTATCAAATTTAAAACTATTTTCTGGTCACTGCAAAAAGCAAAGTATTAGTTATCTTTAAACAAAAGAAAGTTTGGAATACCTTACATGAAAATGTAATAAGTATATGATTGAAGCTAACAAAAAATTGGGAAAAGGAAAAAGAAATATGAAAGAGCTCCATCTGATCTGCCTGAACTAATGTCGTATTCTGGTATCTATAGACCGACTACACTACACTTGATCGTATAATATTTTTATTTGTTTATGCTTTCGTTATATGAGGAAAAAAAACCATCTATATATATATTTTTTTAAAGTCAACTAAACTTGAATATATAACATTATCCTGACATGAGTATTATCTCTTACTCTTACATATCAAATATTTATGATAAAATTAAAAATTAAATTTTTTTAAAAGGACTCCCACAATTCCCTTATGTTTATTTAACTAATAGAATAATATTTTGGCTGTAAAGCTATAAGGTGATATAGATGGGTTGAACCCTCACGACAATTGAAATTGATATTATTTTCGTTTGGTTGTATTGGCTTAATTAATATCGTGTATATATAATACCAAGACACATGATAAAAAAGGTTGATTCTATTAAAAGACAAGAGTGGAGCCAAAAAGTCAACACCATTATTTACCGTTACTAATAATAGATGTAATCAAATTCTATAAATAGTCGGTTAACAAGACTCTGTGATGTTAGATTGTACACATGTAAATAAAAACGAGCAACGTGATGAGGATTTCAACATAGGAGTATACGTCTCATGACATCAGAATTGTAGAACATAAGTAACGCTGACCAAAAAAAAAAAAAGTAACGCTAGTATCTTGTTATTTCCCTTATCTTGCCTAGAGGATACTGTCTAAGAGTGATTGAGTGGCCTTCCAAGGCTCCAATAATAATAACCTATTAATCGTGCTGATGATCGTGTTGATAATAAATCGGTAATTTGTATTATGTTGTAATGCACCGTATAGAAAAGAATTTGAATAACATGATTACAATTGAAGACTTTATTTTGTTTTCGTTAAAATAGAATTGATATACAATGAAACACATATGTTCACATTTAAAAAAGGATGCCACCTTTAGGAGGCAAATCCAGCTTTTCATTTGATTAAAAAAAGTTATAAGAAATAACTCCAGCTTCCTCTTTTATATTCTTGGTCACTCCACCTTTGACTTCAATATTTCATAATAAGTACTTAAGAATTAGTAGTCTTGCCAAAAAAAAAAAATAAAGAAGAGGATTAGTAGGCTCTTAAGTCTGAAACCGTACGTAACAAGTAAAAACGAAGAAAACAAAGATTGAGAAAGAAAGATGGAAGACGATTCAAAAGCGAAGACCATCAAGAAGAGACTAAGTCCGTCGGAATTGATAACTTACGATTCATCTCTTCTGCGTTTGCTTGAGAACGACGATTATCTTCATCAACGCTTCACTGAAGTTGCCAACGAACTCCAAGAAGAACAAGAAGAGACCCAAGACGATGAAGTTACCTATACTGAAGAATCTATCCATGATCATCCATCAAAGATTGAATCCGAACTTCAGAATGGAGTTAAAGCAGACGAGAACGCGAAAGAAGATCCTCCTGTTCGTGGTGAATCAAACATTGAAGACGATCTCGACATTAGGGTTAAAGATAAGAACCTGAAAGAAGATGTTACCGACGAGGGAGAGTCAGAGAAAGGAATCTTCTTACACTCGGACGGTTCGATTGAGGAATCCTCTGACCCTATGGTCAAGATCTCACCTAGCTACACGCTTATCCCCGAGGAAAACCGGTCTCCGGTCTCAGACACGGTATTGAACAACGAGGCTGTTCAGGTGAAGGTTGATACATCGAAACCTAACAAACTAACCGGTTATGCAAAAGCAACGGCGAGATACGAAGATGAACTGTATGAGAGTGATATGTTGATCGAATTTGTGAGAGGTGCATTGGAGCGTGGGGAGAAAGTCATGAAGAGAGAGATGAGAATGGAAGATGTTGGAGAAAAGTTCTACAGTTGCATCGAACAGTTATATCGTGGAGCTGCTATGGTTAAGGAGCTGAGATCAAACTACCAAGAGGCTTTACCTAAGATCTTACCTCGACTGAAGCAGAAGCTGGATGACCTCAAAGTTAGTCGGCAGAGACTCCACTTCAAAAGACCGCCGGAAAAAAAGTGAAAGGAAAACAACAATCTGAATCAGATTTTAGACGGCGAGAAATGTAAACAAGGTTAAGTTTCGTTTTGGTTTTATTTCCAAATATCGTGCGACTGTTGTTCTATAGATCCAAGAAAGTTTTGTAAATCTAGAAAAGGCAAGATCCCAACACAAGCAACTTCAATTTTTTCAACCGGAATCTCTATCTCACTGTAACTGTATGACACCATATTATAATATTTCTCAGGCAGCTAATGTTTACACAGTAGTGTACCCATAGTTAATGAGTTTTATGAATTAACCAGAAGACATGAAGCGTAGAGAGAGCAACAGATGCTTAGTGCATTGTCCATAACATGTTTGCCGTAGTTTTGAGGTTTGATGTGAAGTCTCTAACAAGCAGACGCCTTTGAGTTAGATCCTCCTGCAATTCCACATTCAGATCTTAAGTTAGCTTATCTTCGCTGGAATTACAAGACAATTACGCATAAAAAATTCATTATTGAATTGATTGGGTCATATCTATAACAAGACACAAAAATTATCCAGTGTTTCGGATCAGAATACATAATAAGCTGCTATTGTTGCAAAACACATTATAGATAAAGCAACAAACATCCATTTGTGGACATTGCTATAATACTGTAACAGAGATATGACATCATTGTTCTCAGGAACCAAGGCATCACTCAAAGCAACCACAAGGCCAAGTCATAAGCTAATATATCTTAATTCTATTATCATTCCCCACTCTACTGGCTAGACAAAAAAGTTAAAACCAAAGAAACAAGAGCACAAATCTCATTTGGAAGCATCTGAGAGAGAAAAGCATATTTAAATTACCTCTTACATACAGAATCCAGATCCGCCAATGACTTGAAAAATCATACTTTTCTCCTCAACCTGACTCTCTAGTTCAGACATCTGAGAATCATGTGAAAAAAATGGAAGATAAGTGGAAGAAGTCTCAAATCTTTCTAAAACCGAAAATGAACAAATCTCTGCACAACATAAAACAACATGAAGGCAAGCAGAGAAAGTAATCTTTGAACAATCTCTAATAAATCAACATCGCACTACTCTTCAATATTCTCTTTCACCTTCGTCTACGCAAAATCCATAACATAGAGAAGAAATCTGAAACATAAAATGGCCTATTGATCGCAATCATGTATATACAAATTCCAACTACGAAGAAGGCGAAAATTGGTCGAATGTGAAGACGGAAAAGAGTTTTGAAACTCGCAATTACCTCAAGCTGAAGAGCAAAATCATGGACCAGATTTCCGGAATCCGATGAAGGAGACGATTCCCCAGTTTCTTCACTGCAATTCCGGTGAAGGAACAAGCAAGACCTCTTTCACGCGCCTGAAAAAATTTGCGGACGAATAAATGAACAAGCAGCACAAAATCGATACATGAACAGACGAGAGAGAGAGAGAGAGAGAGAGATAAAAACACCTGCGAATTTCTTGGAGATCGAGAGATTCGTCGTGTGTATCTTCCATGGCGATACGCTTCTGCTTGACGAGGTGAAGTTGAAACTTGATTGCAGACGATTTCAATTTTGAATTTTCATTTTTTTTCAATTTTCAAATAGGAAAAGGCTAAAGAGAAACAAAAGTAACCTTGAAAATCGCCACTAGGTTGAACCCCCTGAATTATTTTTTAAGACAATCAGAATTAGGACTTTTATCACTAATCGGCGGCGCTACTGGTTTAGTTCAGGTATTGAACCGGATTTTAAAACAATTTCAAATTTTAGATTAATTTATGGGATAAAGAGGTGGACGGCTAAATGTGAAGTTTTTATTAGGTAAATAGAAGACTTCATTTATTTATGCCATCGAGTGCGCGTAGGCAAGCTGATGAATGAATTATATATGTGGATATTTATGGTTTCAATTAAAGATGACCTTGGGCTTGATATTAAATAAGGAGACAATATAGATTCGTCGCCGCCTTACGTAAGCATGATATGGACGAAGGTGATGGCGAGTTAATGCTATATGTCATGCTCCAACAAGAAATTTCGATGAGCGGAGCGGGAAACTAAAATATCTTAGCACACCTAGGTTTATGGACTATCTATAAGTACTAGTTCCTGCTTCTAATTCCATATTTGTATATATGGCAAATATATATATATATATATATAAAATATAACGTGTTATTTGATATGATAAAGGTTTATAATGATACATGAGTATAGTGAGTAAAATATAAGTCTACAAAATGTTATAGTTGACTACTAATATTGATGGAGAGTTATTATCGTATCTGGAGGGTTATTTGTTATGATGGGTGGTTAGTGTACGCGGTAGATCATGTAAATTATATTATATCGTGTTATTTGAGCTGATAGCTTTTATGTTCACAAATGAGTGTACTATATGTAAATCTACAAGGTAATGTAGTTGTCCAGTAACACTGATGGATGGTCATAGATATTTACTTTGGAGTGTTATTTGATATGATGGATCTACAAGATATTGTAGATGTGCAAAAAGTAAAATAGGCTTACATAAACCGACATAGCATACATATGTACAACATATGAAATATACAAACATCTGACATGTGTGATAATGAAATCAAAGAATTAGCTTGAAAATGATGGATTAGAGTGATCGCTCAATTAAACAATCAATAGAGAGAGATCGAGCGAATATGATCTTGAGAACCCAACAACAAGTGTGAGAATAAGATCTCACATATGAAAAAATGGAGAATTTCAGAAATTAGGTCTTAGCAGAGAAGTTGATGGCGGAGAAGTTGATGGCTCTGTAACCTCATATCTGATTGTGTATTGATTGTCTGAGATGATTCTCGGAGGTGCATATGGGAGATTAGCTAGAATAACAGCAATGATGTGGAGAGTGACGATTTGGCCGAGTCGGTGGTGGTCGGATCGGAGATAGGTGATAAGATGGCCTTGTTGGAACCATAGACAGTTTCGTTGAAATGAAAAAAACTGGGGTCAAGAGATTTCAAAAGAGAAGAAGTATCACAGTGATGAAGAAAGAATGAGAATAAGAGATAAAAGAGAGAAGAGTAGATGTGGATTGATAATTTTGGTTGTGGATTTTTCTGATAATAAATTAGATAGCGTGTGAGGGTAAAATAGAGAGAAAGTGTGGTGAAATATTTTAATGCTTCAACTCAAGAATACCATATGTCGACTCCCTAATTTACTATTGGTCCTTTGCCATTTAGTGGTATTTCTCATAATTTATTCAGTTTATGAATACTGTAGGTAGATTTAACCTCTTCTTTTTCTTGTCAACTAGGTTTTTAACTCGCGCTACGCGCGAATCTGTATTAATAATTTGGTTTAGTTCTTTTTTGGTTAATATTTTTTAAATTATCAAAGCTATAATATATTTATAGAATTTTTTTATATAAAATAATATTAAAACATAATATGTAGTTTTAACTACTTTTTATTATAAACTTATAAATCTTATTAAGTTAAATTATAATAATAACATCTTACGAATTATCCAACTTCGGCGTGCATATGTTTGATTTAGAGAATAATTTCTTTACTAATTTATTGGTGTTTTGTTTTGTGTCCTTAAAAAATTCATAGTTTTTTTTTTAAGATTTATATTTTCAAATATTTAGTTTTTGATTAAATATCTTGCTGATGTTGTGTACCTATGAATATATAATATATGATTTATTTTGATTCGGATTTACTTTTGTTAAGATGTTACAATAATCATGTAAAGCTGCTTTTTGCTTCTCTATCAGATCTTCTATGAATTTTAGGTTATATCTGTATTTAGCTTATAAGATCTGTTTTTTTTGCAGTCAACTATTTGATAATTTTTGTTTTAAAACATGCAAGATGATGTGAAATCTTCACATTATTACTGTTTTTATCTTTTTTTTTATGGTTTAAATTCATGTTTTGATTTGAATAGTTTATCTAGATATATTTTAATTTGAATTTGATTCATAACTTTGTCATACTTTATTATTTAAAGAAAAATTTAAAAGATGTTACTCATGTGTTGTTCATGTGTTCATGTTGGCTAAGTTATAAGTAGTAACTATGTATAAATTAGTTGTTATATTTTGAATGTAAAATTATTTGTGTATTACTCCCTCTGTTTCAAAATAAATGTCACTTTGACACTTTTCACACAAATTAAAATAGTTAATAAAAAGTCTTTTCTATCCTTCATAAATACACTAAACAACTCTTTCTTTCTAATTAATACACTAATGTAACAAGGTTAAAACTGGATATTTGGTTATAAATTTGCATTGGAACCCCAAAACGACATTTTTTGTGAAACAAAAACAAAACTCTAAAATGATAATTTTTATGAAACAGATGGAGTATTTGTTTGTTAGTTTTTAAACCAGACGCAGCTAAGGTATTAGTCATTATAAATTTAAATAATATATTTGATTTAGAAACAGTTATAACCTATTGTAACTTTATATAGTTATTCATAGTCAATACTAATATTTTATAAATCATGAATTTTCTAAAACTAAATTTCAAACTAATTTTCTTCTTAGATTTTTTTGTTATTTTACATATCTTTCGATGGTAATTTTATATTTTATTTTAATTTATAGTTTTGTGCATGTTTATTATATTTAATACATATATATATTTAATTAATCTTTTTGTTATTGATTTTCCAAATAGGTAGCATATATCAATTTATTCTCTTTTACATAAATATTTTTTCTTTGTTAAATTTATTTTTTACATTAATTTTTATTTTAATTATAATGCTACTTAGACATGCTATAACTGAGTATTCTAAATTTTATGTGGACTTTTCTCAAAAACATATGTACTTGCATTTTTTAGTTAATTTTTTATGTTGATTTTACAAAATATTAGCCTAAATATCAAGCTAGGTTTTCTTTATACAACTTTTTCCTTTGATAATTTATCTCTCTTGATATTGATTTTTATTTTATTCTAACATATAATTGCTTTGAAAATATTGATATTTTTGAAGATTTTTTTTATTTTTTTATGTATATATTTTAATATTGATTTCTTAAATAGTTAGTCAGATATCAAGTCAATTTCTTTTTAAGAGATTTTTCAAAATTTAATATTTTGTAAAACATCAGTTTTGTTTTATTTTTCTTTGTTAATTAATTTCTTAATATTGATTTTTTAAATAATTAGCTTAAATATTTATTTTCTTTTGTTAATAAAGTTTTTTTAGTATTACTTAAGTTTTTAATTTTCCTACCTATTTTGTTTATATTGATTGTTAAATAAAAAATACATATATATCAAGTTTATATTCTTTTTTTTGTTAATTTAACTATTTCGATATGAATTTTCATTTTAATAGTATTGACATATTGCAAAAAAAAATATTTTTTTTGTTTTTTTGTTATTTAAAAGTTTTTGGTTAGTTCAGATTTTTGTGTTGATATTTTAAATAATTAGGCTAAATATCAAGTTTTAGATATTTTTTTATAGTTTTAAATAACAATTTTATATGTTTATATTAAAATATTTAATCTTCATATTTTTTTCAAAATTTAGTTACTCATATAAAATATAAATTTTAAATTGTTTTTTTTTTAATTTTAAAACAATTTCAAATTTAAAGATTAACTAGATTTTGGATCCGCGCACTTGCGTGGGATTTTTTTTTATAAAATATTTTTGGACCATAACAAAATTCAATTTATATTAAATTTTTGTTCAAAAAATATAATTTATATTATTAAATCTAAAATTGTGGCCCAAACTGAAATTTTTATTAGATTATATAAATTATTTTTACATTTTTGCTTTTTATGTTCTTAAATTTATTTAGGCTTGATTTTATTTAAAAAAAACATTTGATTAGTGGATTTTTTGTTAAGTTTTGTAATAAATATTTTAAAATATTATGTTTTATAAAACAATAGAGATTTGTTTGTAATTAAGATTTCAATATTTACTTAGGCTTTGTTTGTTTTTGCATCCCGATACTTATTTAGATGCAAATGCTCAAATATTATTTTTTAAAAATATTTTAAAATCAGTATATGGATGTTGTATCTGGATACAAAATCTATAATATCTCAAAATTTGTATATTTAAAATACTAATAATAGGGTTTGGATGCAGCATTTGAATCTCAAAAATTAAAAGACCAAAACTTCCTTTAATTTGAACCACAAAATCAAGTTTTTTTTTTTGTCAAAACCATAAAATCAGAGTTTTCTATCAAAATAAAAAGCTGCATTTTACCGCAAAATCATAAAATCACGTTGTTGTACAAAAATCAGGAATTCCCGTAGAAACTGTAAAAATAGTATTTTTCATCGAACCGTAATCTCCTGCTAAAACTGTAAACCCATATTTTTTAACAAAACCAAAAATTATATTTTCCCCAACACCATAAAATCGTATTCTATGAAAAAATTTCTAAAATTACGTGTTTTTGTTAAACTTGCAAAATTGTGTTTTTCGTCAAACCCGCAAACCTGTATTTTCAATAAAATCCATAAAACCACATTTTTCCATCAAAACCTATAAAATCCGCTAAAACATGTAAACCTCGCAAAATCATGTTTTTCCTCAAATCCACAAACCCGTGTTTTTCCATAAAATTGTAAAATTCGTAAAATCGTGTTTTACGACCAAATTTCTAAACTCATATGTTTATGCCAAACCTGCAAAATCGAGTTTCCAAACGCACAAATCCCCATTTTCCCATATGACTACATATCCGCTAAAATCTGCATAACCCATAAAATCCGCAAAATTGCATTTTTCGCATTCTGCAAACCCGTATTTTCCTGTAATTCCTCTAAATCTGCAAAATCATGACTACGATCAAATTTATAAAATCATGTGTTTCTGCTAAATCTACAAAAACATAATTTTTGTCAAACCGGCATTTTTTCATAAAAATATATTTTGCGCTAAAACTTATAAAATCTGCTAAAACTTGTAAAACCCGTAAAATCAAAAAATTTGTGTTTGTCAAT